CATGTGTGCATGCTGAAAGAGACTGTGCTGGTCTGACCCCCCTCCTCCTTTCAGGGTGGAGCCTGCTGGAGTCCGATGGTTGAGACCAGGTCTGAGGAAGTGTAAGTGTGTTTTTAATGGGATTCATGAAAACAAAGCAGCACACATTCAACCATCTTCAAACTGTCACATCACTTATTCACATCTCTGATGTCAGGAGTCGTCATCAAAGTGTCAATCAATGAACAGATGACGGATCAATAACTGCAGCTGGATTGTGTTTGTTCTCTCCATCAGATTCTTGTCAACTCACAATCGACGCAAACACAGTACACAGAGAACTTAAACTATCTGATAACAATAAGAAGGTGACACATGTGGAAGAGGATCAGCCATATCCTGATCATCCTGACAGATTTGATCGCTGGCCTCAGCTGCTGTGTAGAGATGGTCTGACTGGTCACTGTTACTGGGAGGTTGAGTGGAGTGGAGAAGCTCATATATCAGTGAGTTACAGAGGAATCACAAGAAGAGGAAACATTAACGACTGTTTGTTTGGGAGGAATGAACAATCCTGGAGTCTGAGCTGCTTTGATGATGGTCCTCGTTATGTCTGGCACAATAACAGAAAACTCACTTTCTTGTCATCCATCTCCTCCTCCTCTGTGTCTAACAGAGCAGCAGTGTATGTGGACTGTCCTGCTGGCACTCTGTCCTTCTACAGAGTCTCCTCTGATGACACTCTGATCCACCTCCACACCTTCAACACCACATTCACTGAACCTCTTTATCCTGGATTTAGACTTTTATTTTCTGGTTCCTCAATAAGTCTGTGTACTTCAGCCTAAGGAGTGTCCTCCTGTTAGATTAACACTGTATATTTCTGTCTCTATCACTCAGAAACGTATTCAGATTCATCAGGTCAATCAGTTGAAGTTCATTATAACGATTATTCCAGATTTTTGTGCATATTTCTTGTTAAAGCTTCACAGTGGATATCAATATGTTGTGTTTCACCAGAGCTCAGTTGTGAACCAGTTCATCTGCATCTCAAACAAGTCTGAGCTCATTAAATTAATCCAAATGTTTTATTTCTGTTTATTTCATTGGTTTGTTTTTGTTGGTTTGTTTGGGGTTTTTTTTTATTTTTGGTCAAAGAAATGTTGTTGTTTTTTTAAATTCTCAAGTGTTTAATGTACTTTTCCCCTCCATATGATGTTTCAGTCATTTTTGGCAGCTCTAATGGAAGCAAGACAGGAAGTTAGCTCCTAGCAAGAGGGGATTTACACAAGAAATGTGATTTGAATAATATTTCATATGTCTGTAATGTTTTATATGTATGACAACAGGACTGTAAGTAAAAGTAACATAGTAGCACATCAGTATTAGTGTTTATTCAGAAACAGATGCTAGATCTGTTAAATAATTTTCTGTGAAAATAAAAAATAAATGTACTCCTATTGAGAAAGGAAAAGTACTTTGCCGTTATTTTTTATTTTATTTTGGAAATATGGATAACAGGGTTGCATTATTAGAATGACACACTCAGTCTAGTCTGAAAAATATCTCAGTGTTAGCACGTAAGCCATGGTCCCTGTGTCTGCCTCGCTGGCCCCACAGGGCTTCATTGGTTTGTTTTTGTTTTGTGCCTGTCTCTCTCTCCCTCTCTCGACACTCTGCTATGGTTAACATGATGGTTAACCCATCATGTTAGTATGTGACTCGCTCACTCCTTTCTGTTTTTCACTCACTTTTGTTTTAATTTTCCAGGCTAATTAGGTTTCAATAACAGGGATGTACATATCTTGTAGGGAACAACTTGCAGTGCATGGTTACTGTTCTCTAAAATATGTTGAGCTATTTCACAAAGCTACATCCAGTTCATTTTTCCATTCAGTTGAGCTATTTCACAATTACTAGAAGTTCATATTAATGAAATCAAAACAAAAAATTGGATTGATAGCTTATTTTTTCAATAAGTACGGACATGTGAAAATTCAGCTTTGAGTGTTTCCTGAGAGCTGAATTGTATTTTTTTTTTTTAAATTATGGATGAGACAAAATCTTGTTATTGTAGAATGGCCCAAAAGTAGTTGAAGGTGAGCCTGATGTTGAAGATGAACTGATAATGAGAGGTGAAGATACCCTTCGATAACCAGACACAGAAACAGGAATGGCTGGTGTATTTGATGAAATTATGAAACTCAAACAGGCAGAAACAAAAGGGCAACAAGCAGATGGAAATCCAAAACAATCAATTTCATGAGAGAGAAAGATTTTCTGCATTTAGCTTAAAATGATTAACTGCAGGAAAACAATGACTTTTACTTGTTATTCATGGAAATGGTCATAGAGGGACCTGATGACACGTTGAAGGATAAGTGAATAGGGTGGAAAGAGAGGTACCCTGGATAATGATGGACCTTTGTTGGAGTTTGTGGAAAATATTAGTTTAGTTTTTAAAGAGAACTTTTAGTATGTCATGGTCCCTGTGTCTGCCTCGCTGGCCCCACAGGGCTTCATTGGTTGTTGTTTTTGTTTTGTGCCTGTCTCTCTCTCCCTCTCTCGACACTCTGCCTGGGAAGAGCCTTCAGCAAGTCCCAGCCTTGTCTGTCTGTTCTCAATTACTCAGCTGAGGAGTCTCTGATATTTAAGGCTGGGAAGCAGAACGGGTCTTCACTGGATCATTAAGTGAGACAAGTCAGTATTACTTCTCGTCTTACGAGCTAATTTCCAATTTGAGAGTTTCGCGTTAGTGATTAATCCTTTTTGTGAACAGTTTCCCCGGACCAACTGCCTTTCCTGTGTGGAGTACAAGTGTGACAGCGTGTGGGAGAGTGTGAGAGGATTTCCCCTTCCCCAATTGGCTTTTTGGACCCTGAGGTTTCCCTCTTCACTTGTATATAGCTTGCACTTTGGTGACCTGTAAATAAACCGCTTTATTGGATGTAATCCCATCTGCGCCTGAGTCCTCCCTAGCTCGTGACATAGACTATACTAGCGCATATTCAGTAAAACCAGAGTTATGATAAAAAATATATGCAATGTTTTGTTTTCCTCCTGAATAGTGATGGCCCGCTTGAAGCTGAAGCTCCGGTGCGTGTGTCAAAAAAATCAACACACTGCTCCAGAAGCACTGTGTCGAAGCTTGATTCGTTTGGCCAGAGTCACGTGATCAGTGACGTCCGAAGCTTCATTTAGAACCTAACTGCTTCGGTATCTGATTCAACGGTTTATAAGCAGGTGAATCATTCGCAGGATTTGTGGAGTGTTTTGATGGTGACAGATAGCGAACCACTGATCATTCCACTGAGAGATTTGGAGCCAGCGAGGGATAGAGGAGGTTCTGTTGTGTGGGAGTATTTTGAGTTGATTTTGGTCAATGGGGTGGGTTTTCCAGCTTTGTGTTCTGGCTGTTTGCTTGTGTTTTGTGCGTGTTTATTTTATCTGGAAACGGGAAAAACTTAAAATGTCAAAAAATCTGCTTTTCATAATATAAATATCAATAAATAACTTTAGAAAGACTTCCATTTGACTCGTAACATTTAATGTTATAAAAAGATATATTTTATTTTTAAAATAATCTTAAAATGTTAGTCTACAAAATGTGCAGCAATTTAATTTATTTATTCTCTTTAGCTGATAGTTCGTGGGGCCCAGGTAGACTGTATAACTGCATCTCTACCACTTTTTCTGCACTCAATCCTCTTCGTACAGTGGAACAAATTCTCTTCTTAAATAAAAATGAAAAAGGGTTACCTTAAATGCATCTGCAAGTTCATAAGCATTTTCCTTTTCCATTTCACAATCAATTCTGCCCCCAGGTCAAAAATATGTATAGGAAAATTTCCCATATATAATATTATTTATAAATATACCCGTCTAGCGATTAATTGCACAAGTACATGGAGGCAGGACCTCACAGCAGAAGCATACTCTATAATGTGCATTATTATATGTTTGTTATATGTGACGTGGTATTTTTCAATTATTGTATTTACCAACATCAAGAAGTCACAAGCAAAGAAAGACCAAACCATGGTGCATGTTTAAACAGGGAAAGTTTACTGGTCAAAATTATTTATTAAAAAAAACGCCTTGGCTGCATTTTTAGGTAAACAGCTGCAAAAACTTTGTTTGCAAAACTTTTTTGAAGAAGTAACTATATAATTAATTGCCCAACATTGGTCATTATATACTGTATTTTGCAGACAGAGTTACAGGACTCTCTCCCAGACCACAGACTCATACTTATAATACAAGTCAGAGCTTTATAAAAATAAATAAATTAAAAAGTTGTGTTTTCAAAATTGGAGTTCAAGTTATTCTTACTTCCAATAGTGTTAACATACTACACAGGTCATGAACAAGATTTTTTTAAATTTTCATTGTAAGTGGGCTAAAACAGTTAATTAAAAGTAGTCTAACATAAATGTAAATGCTGTAGGCAAGGCAAGTTTATTTGTATAGCACAATTCAACAACAAGGTGATTCAAAGTGCTTTACAGAGACATTAGAAACAAAAACAAATAAAAAGCATGATTTAAAATTGATTAAAACAAGCAAACAAACAGACTAATTAACAAACAAACAAAACAGTATATAAAATTAATGTAATTTGATTATTTTAATAAACCATGTAACTTGGATGGATTTGATGCTGGTGTGACCACAGTGCACACGTCTGATGTCGCTCACAGTGGTCCAAGGGATCGCTCAGGGAGTTTGTGTGTTCGCTCAGACACATGAAAAATTAGAGGGAACATTGGTCACTTGTGTAAAAAGTTGTCTGCTATTTTACTAACACTTTAAAAATAGTATAAAAAGGGGCGATCATGGCTCAAGAGTTGGGAGTTCGCCTTGTAATCGGAAGGTTGCCGGTTCGAGCCCCGGCTCGGGCAGTCCCAGTCGTGTCCTTGGGCAAGACACTTCACCCGTTGCCTACTGGTGGTGGTCAGAGGGCCCGGTGGGGCCAGTGTCCGGCAGCCTCGCCTCTGTCAGTGCGCCCCAGGGTGGCTGTGGCTACAATGTAGCTTGCCATCACGTGTGTGTGAATGACTGGTTGTGTAAAGCGTTTTGGGGTCCTTAGGAACTAGTAAAGCGCTATACAAATACAGGCCATTTACCATTTAAAATTGTTTACAAGCAAAAGAAATCAGATTGCACTTAAGTATGTCACTATTGTCTGTCAATAGCCACCATCCACCTCTGTAAGAAGAAATCTATATAGGTTTAATCTAATGTGAAGCTTCTGTTGTCAAAGTGAGTCAGATCCACCTGATATGAATGTGTGCATGATGTGTGCACCTCACATAGCTTGAGAAGCAATGACTGACTCGACTGTTATGTTAAAACAGGTGTAGTGTTGTAGTTGTTTTAGGACTAAACGACCTGCTCCCTGTCTCTGCTTTCATCTAGTGGTTAAAAAATGCCCTAATATATCTGTAATGCTGGGTTACTTTAAATGAAAGCAGGTGATATTCTAAGTTCAAAAGTAAATAACAAGCTAATACAATAAGAATTCTACAAAACCTGTTAGCTAAACTGTGGACGTGAGCTCTGTTATACCAGCTGTTTATGGTTGGTTATTAACATTATTAATTCATTATACCAAGGCAGCTCATTGTAAATTTTATGAAAAGTGATAAGAACTCTGTTTATGATTAATGGTATTGAGAATGCTGTTAAATACACTCAACAAAAATATAAACGCAACACCTTTGTTACTGCTCCCATTCCCCA